TTCTTTCAAATGCAGCTTTCTTTCTGTTGCAGTCTTTGAGTCTTTCATTGTCTCATCATTGGGTCTTTTTCCTCTTTTCAAAGAAGCTCTCCAGTGATGTGTGTTTTACTCATTTTGGCCAGGGTTATGTGGTAGGCTTACCTGTGAAATAACTAAGAATGTGGAGTGCAAGAAAGAAGTGCTGACAAAGAGGTGGGCCACACATAGACTAAAATAACTTTCTAAAATAAATTCACATTTAGAGCTGCCACCAGATGCAGCTGTACATTTGAGGGGCATCAACTCCCTTGCCACTATGAAGCCAGCCACCAGATACAGCTTCATTATCATTTACCACTCAGAAACTGGGACTGAGATGAGTCTGCAAGCAACTGAATTATTATTGTCTCTGTGCAGTCAAACCTCTGTGCTCATATTCATCTGGATTTCCAGCTGCTCCCCAGCTCCACCTCAAGCCATAAGGTATTAAGACTCTCTGAAGGAGCACCTCCCTGGCAAGCGCAAGGTCATGAGTTCGATCCCCAGTACAAAAAAAAAACCCACCTCTCTGGAGGAACACGCAACCTAGATCCTCCATATGTAAAGTTCACAGTGGGCTTGTGCTCCTATAAAAACCTAATACTACTGCCAATATGACAGAGCTCAGGAAGAAACGTGAATGGATGTAAATACAGATAAAGCTTCACTGCCTTGCCTGTCACCCACCTCTTGCTGTGTGGCCTGGTTTCCAGGAGACCACTATTATTGCCAGTCCATGGTCTAGGGATTGGGAACCCCTGACTTAAAGGGCTGAGACTATAGCCATTAAAAGTTCTGATTATAGGGCTAAGGGTGTATCTCAGTAGTAGAGCAATTACCTAGCATGTCCAACATTCTGGGTTCCATCCCCAGCACGACAAAAAGAAAAAAATTTTTCTTTTTAATTATGGTAACCACAGGAAATGTTCCCAACTCAACAATATGTGTTTTGGTAACAGAAGTTTGCTGCTCCCAGCACAGAGAAAGTAGGTACCGCATGGAGGCAGCCTGGAATGCAAGCTCCCATCCTCAGGAATGGCCATGATACCTCCTGGGAGGGCAGAAGAAGCATGTGTGTCACCATCTACTGACAGACTGGGCCTCAGAGGACCTCAAGACACTGGAGCATTTTTTGTGGAAGTCCTCCTTTGCCTGCCAGGATTGAGCTCAGACCCCCTATGGGATGGTTTAGCCCTTCTCATGACTAGCTGAGGCCTTGGTCCCCTCACACTCAGCCACTCTGAGCCTGCAGTCCTCTCTACTGCTCACCACTTCCTTTCACACAGGCTCTGCTCAGAAAGGGCTCAGACACTGGAGCCCAAGTGGTGATTCCCACAGCCAGGACCCTCTGCTGTAGGCCCCTGATTATCTTATCCTGATGTCTGAGTTAATTATGAAAGAGCAGTTGCTAAACAATGTGTCCAGCCCAGGTCTCACTATGAGGGGCCATAGGAAAACAAATGGTCTAAAGACCACTTTCCAGTTTGTAAACAAAGTGGAAAATGGCCACTCCATGAGAACACTCCACTTTCAGAATGAAACTGGAAGAGGATGACCAACGGGCACTGGGGACCTCCTGGAGCACGGGAAATTGAGTTATCAGTGTGATCACATTGATGGGGAAAGAGAAAGCCAAGTGGGCACCTGAGAAACAAGGGTTGCCATGAAACTTCCCACCTAGACAAAACCTGGACCACCCCACTCCCTAAGTTAAGAACCCACTGCCCCATATCACCTTGGGGGCTACAACCATTGCTGGACTGCCTCTCCTTAGAAAGGTATCTTGATGCCACCTTAGAACCTTTCTGAGCTTCTGTTCAATACCTCCTCCAGAGACTGAACACTGTGTGTCAGTGGCAGCTCACCTACACTTGCTCTACACCACCTTCCCTTATGGCCCAAGGACACGGTGAGAGCAATGGCTCTGTCACCAGGCCCTGGGACACACCTAACAAGTGCCCTTCCACAGAGACCTCTACGTCTGACCTGTTTTTATTTCAGTTGTTAACACTCCAGTAGGCATCACTGTCTTGGCAATTTTCATGAGGCTGAAGACAATGTGTGACCAAGCCACAGTCCTAGCAGTCCTGATGACACCCACTAAGAAAAAGGATTGGTACAATGTGTTAAACAGACTAAAGGGAGGAAAAAGCAGAAGGGAAAACTCAAACCCAATGCCAATTCTTTGAAAAGATCAACAGAACAGATAAACTTCTAGCAAGAAAACAAAGAAAAAGTCCAGACAGCAACATCAGAAGAAAAAAGTTGTCACCGCAGCCCCTGCATGCATGCAAGGACAAAGGAATGCCACCAACAACTCTATCTGCATAAATTCAACAACCAGATCAAATGGATCAGTTCCTCAAAGCCCACTACCAAAACCAACTCAAGGCAAAACAATCTACAATACAACTACAACCTTACTGTTAAGGAAGTTTAAAACCATCTAAAAATGAACCCTCCAGAAGGTAACACTAGTGAATGTCAAAGATTTAAGAAATAACACTAATCATCTGACATAATCCCATCCAGAAAACAATAGTAAGCACCATTTTTCCTCACTCATTCCATAAGGCTCACCCCTGACATCAAAGCAAATGAGAATGTTCAAGAAACTTACAGACCAATATCTTAAATGAATACAAACAAAAATTATCAAAAAGAATTAGCAAATTTAATCTACAGTAGCAACATGATACAAAGAATAACAGCCTACGACCAAGTGAGTTTATTCCAGAAACTTGAGGCAGGTTTGGCATTCGAACATCAGCAACACTAGGGGTAGACATATGGCTCAGTGGTACAGCACACTTGAAACACACACAAAGCACTAAGTTTGAGCCCCAGCACCACAGAAAGAAAAAAGATCATCAAAAAAATTAGCCATGATGGGGCTGGGGATTTAGCTTAGCGGCATAAGCACCTGCCTTGCAAGCAGGCGGTCCTGAGTTTGATCCCCGGTACGGATAAAAAGTTTAAAAAACCACATCCAATCATGGTAAAAATTCAGCAAACTGAGTAAAAAGGAAGTTCTCAACTTTACTGATAGAGCACAGGTATCAGAAACCCACAATTAACATTCCCTTGAATCCCTGGATTGATGTGTTTTGAATTTTTAGGTTTTTTTCTTCTTTTTCTCCTTGAAATAAAATGGATTTTTTGGGGGAAAAAATTCCACCGAATGGAAGATGCTAAATCTGTCAAGATGGGAAATGAGGGAAAAATGTCTCTTGGAAGACAAAAAAGGAGAAACAAAACAAAGATAAATAGTCTGTATTTAGGTTTGTCTACACCAAATCCCAAAGAGCTATAAAAAACTCTTAGAACTAACCAGCAAGTTTAACAAGATTACAGAAACAGCCCAGCACACAGTTCAACCACGTGGGGTTGGAGGTATAACTCAGTGATGACAGCAGCACTTCTTATCCTGTGCCAAACCCTGGGACAGAAAAGAAAAAAAAAAAAGGGAAAAGGAAAAGGAAGGAAGGAAAAAAAAACAAAGAACAACTGATAGGTTTCGAATGTTATATAGGTGTGTAACATATAAAAAATATACAGGAGTTACAAAGCCACAACACACTGACAGGTATTTTAAAGAAAAGCTAAATGAATGGAATGTTATGTTCACAGAATGGAAGATAGCATAATAAAATTGTTAAAACACTCAAAATTTGGCTGGTCCGATGGAAGTGGGTTATCAGAACTTATTAACATTAGTGTCATTAAAGTTGGAATACCACCCCCCCCATTGCTAAATTTGACTGGCTTAAAAAAAAAAAAACACTCAAAATTTAAAAAGATGTGTGTGTGTGTTTGCTTGTTTTGAGGGAGGAGTCCACTATTATCCAGGCTAGCCTTGAATTCACTGTAGCTGAGGGTGGTCTCAAATTCATGGTGATCCTCCTGCCCAGCTTGTCAAGAAAGCTTATGCAATTTATTAAAAGGTAGGTTTTACATATATACAAAAACTCTAAAATCAAAGGAAAAAAGAAAGTGACTACAAAAGCTGCAACAATTTTGAAGAGGACGAACAAAATTGGAGGATTTACAATATCTGATTTCAAGACAATATAAAACAACAATAAACAAGACAGTGCAGTAGTGACAACAGAAATGGCAGAAATAAAGAGGGTCATAGAAAAAGACTCATTCAGTTGCCTCCCCAGTGCTCTCTGCCAAAGGAGCAAGGGCAACTAAGGCCAGGCTTCCAACCAATGGCGCTGAACAGGGCCATCCACATACAGAGGACAAACCTCAGCTACACATCGCACTTTCTAGGACACTAACTCAACGTGGGCGTAACTCAGCAGGAGGGGTTAGGGGTGCAACTCACTGACAAGAGTATGCACTGAGTATGCCAAGACCTTAGGCCCAATCCCCAGCACCAAAAACTTTAAAAAAAAAAAATGTAAAACACAAATAAGCTTTTAGAAAACAAATGTGACCGACCACTGAAAGTTAGCCAAAGAAGTCTTAGCTATGATAACAAAAATATGACCTGGAAAGAAAAAAATGCGTAAATTGGAGTGCATCAAAATGAGTAACTTCTGCTCCGTGAATCCCATACATCACGCAGTCTTGTGAAAGTAAAATACGTAAAACATCCTCAGCATTCAACAGTAAAGAAGCTTCTGTGATAGGGCAAGGATGATTCAGGACCGACACATACCCTAGGAGGCAAGGACAGCGAGGAAACCCACGCGAGCCCAAGCTGGCAGGCGCAGAATAGGCAAGGTGGGCTCCAGGCAAACTCGCCAGGGGACCAGCAGACACCAGGAGGGACCAGGGGAAGCCGGGGAGGTCAGAGGGGGCCAAAGGGTACTGCAGGCAACAGAAGGGCCTGGAGGGACCACAGAGGACCAGCAGACGCCAGGAGGGAGCAGAGGGACCGGGAGGAAACCAGCGGGAACCAAGCGGGATCGCAGGAGACTACGAGGGCCCCGGGTACCCATGCCGCCCGCCTGCCCCGCGCGCCAACCCACCGTCCAGCGACACGAACTGGCCCACGGCGGACGAGCCGCCGCCGCTGTTCTCCACGAACTGCACCTCGGACACGATGATGTTGTCCTCCAGCACCGAGCCACAGGCCGTGCACACCGCGTCGCCGCGCGCTGCGTCCAGCTCGATGTCGGTGCTGCCGCAAGCGCGGCACACGCGACCCGTCATGGCGAGGCAGCCGCCGGCCCGGTCCCCTGATGTCCGGCTATCGCTCCCGGCCTTAGGCTCGCCCCGCTGCGTCCGCCCGTTGGTCCGTCCGTACGCACTCTCGCGAGGCCGTCGGCGCCGCGCTCACAGATTCGCCGTGGCAGATTCGCCACGAATGCTTGAGCCTCCCCGCTCACCACAGGTCACACCTAAAGGGCCGGGATGGGCACCGCAGCAGCGGCGCGACGCGGACGCAGAGACTCGAACTGGCGACCTCCAGAGTTGGCGTGGCTGCCGGACCTCAACCAACGAGCAAGAAGGCCAGCGAGGCGGCGAGGCCAGTAGCAGCACTACCCAAGCCGAAGGCGCGGGGGGCGGGGCCTGGGGTGGGCGGGGCCTGGGCGGTGCGCAAGGCCGGAGCCGGAACTAGTGGGTGTGGGCGGGGCCTGGGCTGGCCCCGGCCTGGGACACAACAAACTGCACTGGATGGGCCTTGTGGTGGGCGGGGCCTGTGTGGTGGGCGGGGCCTGCCCTGGACTACCCCCCCCCCGGCAGTGGGCGGGGCCGGGGGCCGGGGGCCGAAGAGCAAGAGTGGTGGGTGGCTGCTGAGCAGGTTGGGGATCCAAGCCCTGTCTCCCACCATTTTTTTTTTTTTTTGCAGGCTAAGGATTGAACCTAGGGCTCACGCATGCTGCACAAGCGCTGTATAACTGATTACACGCCCGGGTTCCCTACTTTCTGACAGCTACAGTCCAGGTGGCGACCTGGTTCAACAGCCTAGCCAGCCCTGTTGGGGCACGAGGAGAATTAGGACCTTGTTTGTAGGACAGGCCAGGAGCTCTGAATCAAAAGTCCTTCAGCAACCGGGCATGGTGGCACACACTTGTAATCCCAGCACTTGGGAAGCTGAGGTGCGAGGATCATTGTGAGTTCAAGCCCGGCCTGGGCAACAAAGCAAGTTTAAGGCCAGCCTGAACAGCATAGTGAAACCCCGTCTCAAAAAAAAAAAAAAAAAAAAAAGAGCCCTTCAGAAGCATTTGTCAACTGCACCAATCCCATAGAAATGGCAGTAAGATTTTTTTTTTCATTTTTTGAGACAGTCTCACTATGTGGCCCATGTGATCCTCCTGCCTCATCCTCCCAAGTTCTAGACTACAGGCATGTACCAAAGTGTCCAGCAGCAAGGATGTTTTAAGGAAATTGATAAAATGATACTACATTTTTAGTCCTTTGGAAGACACAATCCTCAAGAACACTGAGTGTGGTGACCCACTCAATTAATCCCAACATCAAGGTGATGAGGCAGGAAAATGATGAGTTTGAGCCCAACCTGGGCAATTTAGAGAGACCCCAATCTCAAAAAGTAAGTAACGACTGGGATGTAGCTCAGTGCAGAGACCCTGGGTTCAATCCTCAACACTTCACCAAACAATAGTCAAGAAAGTGAAGGAAAAAAGGAGGAGAAAACTGAAATGGAGAATTCCCTTAATGTATATTTTAAAACTGTATCAAATTGTAGTCATTAAGGCCATGTGGCATTGGCGATGGTTCCATGAAATAGACCGAAGAGTCGAAAAACACAAGCACATAGGACCCTTCTGACACAAGTCATTGAGGAAACCCTTGGGGGAACAAGAGGGTTGAAAAAATTACTCCAACCATACCTTTTTAATGAAAATGTGTACTGGAGCCTAACGGGAGCTGGCTGTGCATCTCACTAGCTGCACGTGGGGAACACAGGAAATGATTTTAGTGTTCTCCTTCTTGGTACCACGAACAGCAAGGGGTGTGTGCATGCGTCAAAATGTAAAATGGTGAGTTTTACCCAGGTTATGCACTGTTATATTTTTATTTATTTATAATTTGCTTTATTAAATGCACAAGAACCCCTAAAGAAAGCAGGAAGATGAGCAAGATGCCAAGTATGTCACACTGAAAAAGACAGGAAAATGAAACAAATGTGCTATCGTGTAAGCTGTACTTGTGGATGGAACATGCTGTTGTCATGTGTGTAGACTGCCTTAAGTGTGATATTTGAAGCAAAGATTATTTCTATAGTAGAGTTTTGTTTATATTTTCATTGTACTTCACATAGGAATTTATTTCTGCTTATTTTATTTTATTTTTTAGAAATTCTGTTATTTTTTATTCTGAATTTATTTCTACTTATTTTATTCTGTTACTGTTTAGATTTTGTAAGATAAAAAGCTGATCTTTAAAATGTTGATGTTGAACTATTTCCCTTTCAGATACCCCATAAAGAGTATTTCTTTCTTTCTTCCCTCCCCCTCTTCTTTCAACTTTCCCCACCTTCAAATAAATTACGTGCTTTTATTTTTTAAAAGGTGATGTTTAGGGTCTGGGGATTTAGCTCAGTGGCATAAGCGCCTGCTTTGCAAGCAGGCAGTCATGAGTTTGATCCCCGGTACCCATAAAAAAGGAAAAAGACCAAAAACAAACAAATAAACAAAAAGTGATGTTTATAACACTCATTATATATTAAAAATTTTACTATTTTATTAAAAATTTCCTATTTTAATATTTTTTAAATAGTAACAGTTTAGCTGGGCATGATGGTGCACTCTTGTAATCCCAGCACTTAGGAGACTGAGGCAGGAGAATTGTTTGCAAGTTCAAGACCAACCTGGGCTACAAAGTGAGCCCAAGGCCGGTCTGAACTGCATAGCGAGACCCTGTTTCAAAAAGACAAAAAAAAGTAAAAAAGTAAAAGACAAAAAAGTACTAATATTAAAAATTTAGTATCTTACTGATACATTACTAAGTACAAATTGTTTAATATAATAAAACCCATAAAATTAAAGTTAACAATACATCATTAGAAATACCTCTAAAAAAATTCATGCTGGTGTGCCACCCACCCCCCATAATGCTCCTTTAAACAAAACTTGGTGATATGCCCTGGTTACATAGTGTTAGGATTTCCAAGTAGAGAAGGGAAAGGGTAAATGGATTTCAGATCTCAAGCTGTTCTAAAATTAAATTCCAAGCAACAATAAGAGTTAATAGAAAAAAAAGCTAATAGCAATTATTAGCAATAGCAAAATTGCACAATTATTGGATCAAAGAAAATAATATAAATCACCAGTGGACATCTTTGACAGGGGTGGTGGTACTGGTTTGGGAGCCCCTCCCTGCGCATGAAGCCTCTGTTGCCACCACAGCAGTGAGTGCCCAGTGTAGACAAAGCTCAGGAGCACCCCGCAGAACTGCCTGCGGAGGCTAGGTCAGAGCATTTCACTTTGGTTTTTGTTTGTTTGTTTTGTGGGGGGAGGCAGTAAGACAGGGTCTCACTATGTGGTTCAGGCCAGCCTTGAATCCACAGTGTGGCCCAGGCTGGCTTTGAACTTGCAGTGGTCTTCCTTCTGGGATTACAGGTGTGCACTATCAGGCCTGGCAGTACTATCACACTGGCTCCCCCTCCTCCTTTTCCTCCTTTACTGTCCCTCTTTCTTTCTTTGCAGTACTGGAGATTGAACCCAGGGCCCATCTCCTTTTATTTTAGGATAGGCTAGGTTTGAGCTTATGATCTTTCTGCCTCAAACTTGCACAATGCTGGATTTACAGGCATGCATTACCATGATGTCTTTCTTTTTTACTTTTTTTTTTTGGCCTTTTTCCTTTTTATCAGTACCAGGGATCGAACTCACAACTGCCTGCTTGCAAGGCAGGCGCTTTTTTACTTTTTGATAAAATAATACAAGCACACCTAAAAGTAGAGCAACAATAGGAAGAGGGGCTGGGGGTTTACCTTAATGGCACAAGCACCTGCTTGGCAAGCCCAAGGTCATGAATTTGATCCCTGGTACAAAAAAAAAAAAAAAAAAAAAAAAAGACCTAGGTTGGGGATTTAGCTCAGTGGCATCAGCACCTGCCTTGCAAGCAGGCAGTCATGAGTTCGATCCCCGGTACCAATAAAAAAAAAAAAAAAAACCACGACAAAAAAAAGACCTAAGGAACACAGCCACATCAAGCTTCAGAATTTTGTTATATTTGCTCTTTGAATCTGCTCCTTTAGTTGGGGAGGTTTCTCTGTGTTTGGTTTGTTTTGGTATGGTTTGGTTTGGTTTGATCTGGTCAGGTCTGTTTTGGTTTGGTTTGGTTTGGTGTGGTGTGGTCTGGTCTGGTCTGGTCTGGTTAGGTTTGGTCTGGTTTGGTGTGATTTGGCTCAGGGGTGTTTTAGAATTGTTGGAACATAGCCATAACTCCTCTAGGATTCAGTTCCCTTCCTCCCTGCCCAGAGGTCTACAACCTGCCCTGGGTCATCTCTCCAGGTTTTATGCTATCCATAAATAATGTGCAGTCTTCCCTTAATACCTAGAGAAGTGGGTTCCCAGACCCCAGCAGACACCAAAATTTATAATGTTCAAGCCTTTTACATAAATTTCATGGCACTCAAGTGTTGTGGTGTAAACCTGTGATTCCAGGACCCTGGGAGACTGAGGCAGGAGACTCACAGGTTCAAGCCCAGCCTGCACAAGTTAGCGACTTAGTGAAACCTTGTCTCTAAGTGGAAAAGACAGAGGGACTAGGGGATACAATTCAATGCAAAGGCCTTACGTTCAATCCTCAGTACCACAAAAATGAATAAACGATTAATGGAATTTGCATGTAACCTATACATACCCTCTCATATACTTTGTTTCTTTTTCTTCTTCCTCTTCTTTTTTTTTTTTTTTTTTTTTTTTTGAGGCAAGGTCTCACTATGTAAACTAGCCTGGTCTTGAACTCACTATGTAGCCCAGGCTGGCCTCAAACTCACAACAATCATCCAGCCTCAGCCTCCTGAGTGCTAGGATTATAGGCATGTGCCACCATGCCCAGCTAAATAGAACTTTTAAATTTTTTTTTTTGTACTAAGAATCAAAACTCAGGACCTTGTACTTGCCAGGCAGGCACTCATGCCAGTGTGCTATCTCCCCAGCTCCACAGGGCTCACTTCTGAGTCCCATGTAATCACTGAAGGATCTACACTTGTCCCCTGTGGCTCTCCATGCAGCTGCTGGGGTGTCCTGCTGATGCAGTGCTGGCTGTCCCCGGAGTGAGAGAGCCACACGGTCTCCTTGACTGCTGTCCCTACTTCCACCACCTCTGCAGCAAGAGATTTTGCTCTGGTGAGGCGCGTCAAGGGTACTGTGTCGGCTTGTCATCACTACACAATCTACTGAGAAGAACGAAATAAGGAGGAAACATTTATTCTGGCTTATATTTTCAGAGGCTTCAGTCCGTGGTCAGCCTGCTCCATTGCTATGAGGTCACTAGCTGAAGAGCACAGTGGAGGAAACCTGCTTATACCATATAGCAGGCAGGAAGCAAAGAACACCAGAGAAGAAAGGGCCAAGGAGAAAACTACTCTTCATCTGG